GAGTTTCGTGACGCTCCAGCGAAATTCAGAGCTTTGCCGAAGCCTGAGCTTCGGCGAAGCTTCGGCGAAGCTCCGGCGATGCTTCCCCAAAGTATGAAGAAGCTCTCCTTCACCGTAGGAGAGAAGACACCTTGCTTTCTTCGTTAACCATGCTCCTCCTCAAGAGAACCTCACACGCACTCAAGGAAAAATAGTGGAGGAAGAGGAAGAAGATGAAGGAAGAAGGTTCTCTTGGTGGGAAATGAGGGAGAAGAAGAAGGAGGTGGTTGTGGGAAGCCAAGCCCCTTCTTTACCTTTCTCTCGAACTCTTCACCGCAAGACGTTCATTAGAAAATCCTAGTCTTTTCTCTAGCAATAAGAGGAAAAAGAAGCAGCTCAAAGCCTTCTCTAGGATCCTCTCTAGGATGCCAAAAATGATGAAGATCGAGTCTTTGGAGGAGCTAAGGGGAAGAAAAGCCGACAGCTCAAACTTTACCCCTCTGTTTGCCAAAAATGACTTGCCACCTCACCTTATAAGCTTTCAAATGGGGCTTAATCATCCCTTTATCTTCCCCCTAAGTAAATCTCCCCATGGACCAATAAATCTCTGCAATTTTGGCTGCCTAGGGGCTTGGTTTGTTGCCAAAATGATGAAATTCAAGGAATAAAATAGCGGGCAAAATTTGGACTGGTACCTGGCGCCGCGATCATGGAGATTAGTCGCCATGGGGCTGACGCCTACTTTCTCAGGGCTCGGGAAAATGTTGTTTCAGGGCATTCTGGGCATCTACGCGCCCGAGACTGGTGCCTAGGTGTCAGGTGGCTGGTGCCTACTTTCCAAGGTCTCGAGAAAACGTTGTTTCAGGGTGGTTTTGGGCGCATATGCGCTCGATGTTGGTGCCTAAGCGCCGGTCTTGCCCCGAAAACCTTGGTTTTCATCGAAAGCGCCCAGTGAAGGATTTTTCCAATCCAAAAACTTTGAAGGATCAAATATGACTAAATTAAAGTTCCATAACTGGAGTCAAGTATTTTTATGGGTATTGTATCAAGGATTCCGACGTCGACGGGCACCCCGAATCATCCCGCGGGTACAACATTCTGAATCCTAATCTCCCCAGAACGTCCTTGGGAAGCTTCGATAGGTTCCTTTGTTCACGGGAGACTCCATATGGATATGACATGATCTTTAAACATCGGAATGGACACCGAACATGTCCTATGTCGTGAATGAGCCCGCCCAACGGCGGATTCTCCCGAGCAGGGTCAAATCATCGCAGACCCTAGTTTCGTGCCTTGAATACCCACCAGGAAGTTTTAGATGGTTGTCTTGAGCTACGAGATGCTATGAATGAGCAGTGAGTTATCTCGAGTCAGTCAAGTGGACACATTTTACACATGACATCAAAAATTGATGCCAATAGATTCCATCATTTTCTTTCTTACTTTAATATTACCTACTTAGAGAATGCGTCTAAAATGTTCAATTATGATTTTAGCCTTTATGTTTCTTCTCAAATCTTGATAGTATTCAATTTAGGGTTATTTTAATTATATTAATCTAGATTATTATTATATTTAGATTAATTTAATTTGTGAGATAATAGCAAACTAAATTTTCTCAAATATTATATTGAAATCTTTGGATCGAAAGGTTATTTAACATGGATTTAGAGAAAGTTCATTGTATTGAATGTCATCAACCCTCCTTAGTAGAAACAAATTTTTGTTGGAAGCCTCGTATAAGGCATTTATTAAAATATGAACATAAGTTTCTTAACCTTCATTCAATTTATTGTCTATCATCCTTAATATTTAAATCATGATACTTACCATTATCTTACATATTCTAGCTTGCTATATACCGCCTCTAAGCATTATATAAGGAAATTGTTGGACTGAGCTGAAACATTCTTTAGTTACATGCAAATAAGCAGAAAATGAAAAGAAGGGGAAGAGAGAAGGAAAAAGAGGAAGGAGCTCTTATAGCAGAGAAGAAAAGAGAGAATGAGAAGCAGTATCATCTTTTCTCCACATTCAACCATCATTTTCATAACAATGGTTGTGTTTCTTTTCAACTATTAACAAAGATAGTATGATATTTTATGTTTATTTATATGAAGTATAATATTTCTTAATGTATCCATTTAGAGTTTTTTTGGTATATGTGATCTCTCTATGGTTTTGGATATAGTTGAACCTCATGAAACCACATAAACTTATGTTCTAAGAATGTCAAAAGGCGCTTTGATTTTCGATCACATTAATGAGATCAACTTAATCATGGAACAGTTGAAGCTTTGTCAGTGTTAAAGTTTTTATAATGAGATCCATGCTTTGAGCTTGCTCTCTTCATTGCCTAAGAACTAGGATGGCATTTCTATATCCATTCAGGTTTATCAGTAATGAAGCTTCGTGATGTTAAAGATCTTATTAGCATGAGAAAGGTGAAAATATATCTGCTGAAATTTAGAATAATGCAGAATCATATTATTGATATGAGATGAGGGTATAAATAACCCTTACATGAATCCTATAATAGGAAAGACAATAAAAAAGAAATAACAAGAAAAGAAAAATATAATACTTAAATCTCCAATTAATCAATTTATATCAATTACTTGGAGATAAAAGAAATTACATAAAACATAAAATAAGAAAGTAAATAACTCCAATCTAAGAAAATAAATTTAATCCCTATAACTTCTAATAGGAATAAATTATTTTTTAATATTAACTTCTAACACTCTCCCTCAAGTTGAAACATGATTGAAAATCATGTTTAACTTGGATTTGAAAACATCAAACAATGGGCGAGTATGATTTTTTGTGAGGTAAAATTTAAAGTCTTCATCTCGTACATGGTAATCAACCCCAAGAGTATTTAGTTGATTGCGATTGTTTTTGATTGTAGCTTCTGGAGTGTTTGTAGGTAGGCGGAAGGTTTGCTGCAGAAAAGTTTGTAGGGAAAGTTTGTAGGGAAATAGATAATCAATAGGAAAAGCTTTGGGGTATGACCTGCAGAAAAAAAAAAGAAAGCTCAGGAGGTAAGCCTTGCTGCAGGAAAAGACTTTGGAGGAGGGCATGCTGCAGGAAGAACACTTGAAAATGTGCAATTTGTATTAAAGATCAAAACATCAAAGAAGCATACAAGCTAGAACGGCCCAAAAGGGCCCAAAAATGACAAAAAAAGGCTATGTTCCATGGACATTAGCAAAAGTAGCAAGGCCATCTTACAAAACAAAAAAGGAGAGAATCTTTCTCATGTACATCTTTAAAAAAAAATCACTATAAAAAACTTTCTTTGCACAATTATGGGTTGCTATATTGTTTTCTCTGTTGGTATGGATAAACACAACTTCCTTAAATTCAAGCTAGAAACTAATATTTGGATTTGCGGAAATGTTGCATTGCCAAGTCTTCATATTCATAGTAGCTTCGAGAAATTTGATCACATTATAATTTTCCCCCTCAATGATGAGACCCTTGTTCTCGATCATCTAATCATCCATGAGTCCTTTAAGAAATAAAATAGCTTCCAATTCCACATGTGATCTATCCCAATGGATCAATTTGCGGCCTGCGACCACCATAAGCTTGTCTTTCTCATCCTGAATGATGATTTTGGTTGGTGCAAGAAGAATTCAGGTGGAGACTTGTTGCAGGAAAAGCTCCGGAGGAGGATCTGATGCAGGAAAAGCTCCGGAGGAGTATCTGATACAGGAAAACACTCTAGAGGAGGTCCTGCTATAGGAAAAGCTCTAGAGGAGGGTCTTCTGTAGGAAAGATTCTGGAGGAGGGTCTGCTCCAGGAAATATTATAAATGAGGGTCTGCTACAGGAAATATTATAAAGGAGGGCCTCTTGCAGGAAAAGTTACGGAGAAGGTTTTCATGTATGAAAAGGCTTCAAAGGAGGGCATGCTGCAGGAAGAATTTCAGTGGAGGACCTGCTGCAGGAAAAGCTCCAGAAGATGGCAAAGCTCCAGAAGAGGGCCTGATACAAGAAAAAACTCCGGAGAAGGGTCTGTTGTAGGAAAAAACTCCTGAGCAAAGCCTCCTACAAGAAAAAGTTTCGAAGGAGGCCTACTGCAAGAAAAGCTTTGGAGAAGGGTTTACTGTAGGAAGGAATCTGGAGGAGGGCCCGATGCAGGAAAAGGCTTCGGAGGAGGGCCTTCTGCAAGAAGAATTCTTCCGGCGGAGGATCTGCTATAGGAAAAGCTCAGAGAAGGTCTGGTTTAAGAAAAAACTTCGGAGGAGGGCCTGCTATAGAAAAAGCTTCGAAGGAGGGTCTGATGCGGGAAAAGTTTCGGAGGGTGTGCTGCAGGAAAAGCTCCAGAGGAAAGCGTGCTGCAGGAAAAAATTCTGGAGGAGGCCTGTTATAGGAAAAGCTCCGGAGGAGTGTCTGTTACAGGAAAGATTCCGACAAAGGTTAATTATAATAGAAAACAATCTTTCATTTCCATGAGAAGCTTGAAAAGGATTGTGGGTTGTTGTTATTGTTATGGTTAAGTGGACTAGCAGGCCCGTCATATGACTCGCTTGGAGTTCCTCGAGAGGGCGGACTGCTACCACTAGTTATCATACCACTAACATTGCCGAGAATACCACCAACAATACGATCTTTTCCATGATCAATGTTATGTCTAAGAGATTTGCTTCTTTCGCTCTTTCTTCTCGTTGGCGATAAAGCTTGCCACAACAACCTGAATGGGAGAAGCGGCGATTAGATGTCCGACAGCTCTGTCGCCGAGGACTCGACCATCAAAACTGGCTAAAGAAACACTCAAACCGCTGATTGACTGCATGGACCGCCCCTCTCCGATAGCAGAAATGAATCGGACATTGATAATATTTCGAACCGGCTCTCATAAGTTACTATTTCTCCTGAAGTTGGAGCTTGTTGAAGAGTCGCATTAAAGATTGCCCATTTGCCGAAAATAACATGCTGTCTATGCTGAGAAAATGATATGATCTTTGCGGAAACATCCTCTCTAGCCTTAAGAAAAATAACATGTGGAGTAAATCTAGTTCCTGCAGATCTAGGTGCAAGCAACTACTACTTCTTCCTAGAGCCTAGAGGTCTTCTCTTAGCTTTCTTCATGGGATCACCTTGAACTAAAAGATCAATGTTTGACTGCCCATTGAAAGTGGAGAGAAGCCTTCGATGCCAAGTAGACTTTCGGAGGTCGGGGAAACTTGGTAGCCATGGTGCCATCAGGGGAATGTACTTAGGCCGCCCTCGCTTCTTCACCAGCTCGCTGACGGCCTCATTTAGTCCATGGATGGCCACAACAGGTGGGGCGAGGGATCCATCACTACCAATACAGATGGCGGAGTTTCCTCCCATAGAAGGGGGAGCTGAAACAGTAGAGATCGTGGAGACAAGCATGGCGTTTTATAAACAACAGTGCCATCGTTAGTCAATGTGAGGCGCATGCTAGAAATTGAGGGTTTGGTCGGCACTAGGAGATTTTACATCCGAATAATGTGGAATCATATTATTGATATGAAATGGGGGTATAAATAACCCTTACATTAATCCTAGAATAAGAAAGACAATAAAAAAGAAATAGCATGAAATAAAAGATATAACACTTATGTCTCCAATTAATCAATTTATATTAATTATGTGGAGAAAAAGGAAACAATATAAAGCATAAAATAGGAAAGAAATAACTCCAATCCAATGAAATAAATTTATTCCTCAAACCTCTCGTAGGAATAAATTATTTCCTAATAACTTCTTACAATATTATAGTTGGCTCAACAAGAAATACAATCTCTATTAGGAAAAAGCCAAAAGAAGAGGTAATGAGTGCGCTCTTCCATTTTTTTCTAAGAAGGATCTGGCGATAAACTATTGCATATGAAATTATGATAGCGTTTCTTGTAGACAATGAGCATTTGAATATTGTGTGCATTGAAGATGTAATAATTAAGATAGAAGGCAATATTTGAAAGCTAAGTAAAGCCATGCTTATGGAGAAACATGATCTCTTTAGGACAATTAGTTGTAGGAGGATGCTATGTTTCTTTTAATCGTGCTACTAAGAAAGTGAGAAAAAGATATGTTGATGACTGCTTAAGGCAATGAGCATAACTCTAAATGCTATCATCTTCATAAGAATAATAGAAGCTATCATCAATAGAGGTACAAACAAATTTATGGCATTCAAGGCTAGGGTATACAACAACAACAACTAGTCTTTGTCCCACTAAGTGGGGTCGGCTACATGAATCCTTTTTCTCTATTGTGTCCTATTGTATTTTCTCTATTGTGTCCTATTGAGTGTCATATTTTCATTTAATTCTAATAAATTAAGATTATTTTTTATACAAACATAATGAAGTATTAAATTTATGTGTGTATCTGAGCAATAAAGGCCAGGGTAAATTTTAGTATTGAAATCTATTGAATCTGATTTTTTTTTGTTGACTGTATTTTATGAAAGCTAAAGGGATTCGTATAAAAAAAATAGAATAAAACTTAAAACTAAAAGAATAGTAGCTGGTTGACACAAATGTATAGATGACATATTTTTTTCCATATCTTGTTGGCTCGAGGAACTCTCTCTCCTTCAAAGAGATTGCACTTAAAAAGTGTGATTTTATTTTATCAAAAATAAATTTGATGCATTTAATAATTTTGTAAGATGGAGAAGCTTAGTTGAAAATAAAATTAGTTTACCGTTTGACAATTGTGAAGAATTTGATAGCCTAGAGTTTAAAAATTACTATACTTTTAGCTGGATTTGTATATAAAAATATAATCATAAAAACTCCCCATCATAATGAAGTTGATGAAAGGGTTAACAAGCTTTGAATCAAAGTGCTAGAAACATGAGATAGTGTATAGGATTATCAAATGTATTTTATTTTGTTGCAGTAATTGTAATAGCATATTTAATTAATCATGGTTGATCTTTATCTCTTGATTTTAGTTTTCATGAGAAAGCTTGAATTGGAAAGAAGATATGCCTTTTAACATTTGTAGGTCTTATATTTTTTTTATTTGCACTTGGTTCATAATGAAAGAAACAAACTTAAATTAAAATTAAAGAGAAATTATTTTATTAGTTTTGGTATCAATGATGTTAACTGTTACTAGAGTTGTTACTTGTGTTCGAATTGAAGGAGGATTGACCAAATGTTTTCCTATTTCTGTTGGATTACATCAGGGATCGATTTTAAGTCCATATCATTTTGCTTTAGTTATGGATGGTCTGACTGTACATTTACAGGAGGATGTACCTTGGTGGATGCTTTTTGCTGATGATATCCTTCTTGTGGATAAGACGAGAGAAAAAACCTAGAAAATCTTGAATTATGGAGGTCTACATTGAAGTCTAATGGCCTTCATTTGAGCCTTCATTTGAGTAGAACTAAAAACTGAATACGTGGAATGTAATTTTAGTCATAGTAGCCCTAGTGATAGAAGTATGGCTTTGGATGATCAAATTATTAAAAGGTGGGAACGATTTAGATATCTTGGGTCTGTTGTTCAAAGAAATGACATAAAATTGATTTAGATGGGGATGTTTCAAGTCGGTTGGTTGAAGTGGAGGAATGCTTCGGGCCTTTTGTGTGATAGAAAAGTTCCGCTTAGATTGAAATGAAAGTTTTATAAGATGGTGGTGAGGCCTGCAAGGCTCTATGCCAATGAATGTTGGCCTTTAAAAGAGAAGCATAATACTAAGTTAAGTGTTGCCGAGATGAGAATGATTAGATGGACGAGTGGCTTTACACTTAGAGACAAAAAGAGAAATGAATATATCCGTGATAGGGTTGGTGTAGCTCTAGTGACGGGCAAAATTAGAGAGAGTAATCTTAGATGGTTTGTTCACATTAAACGTAGACCATCTGATGATCCAATTATGAGAGTTGATGTTTTAGATTCAACTTATTCGACTTATGTTAAGAGACTTATGTTAAGAAAGGCAGAGGTAGACCTAGGAAGCCTTGGGCTTATTGTATAAAGAATAATCTTAATTTATTAGAACTAAATGAAATATGACACTATATCGGATGCAATGGAGAAAAATGATTCATGTAGCCGACCCCACTGAGTGGGATTAAGGCTTTGTTGTTGTTGTTGGTATCAATGAATTTAACAATAAATTTTAGGATGTTGAAAATAAGAAAGTACTTAGATGCAAGAATGTTATTTTCAAAGAAATTGAGTTGTACAAAGATATTTCATATAACAACGAAAAAGAGACCTCCGCTCTACAACATATTGAACTAGATGAGGCACTTATCCCAAAACATAGATAGGAAGCTCAGGAGTAGTTTAAACCTTATACATTTGTGACAAGCTGTCTGAACACTATCCTCTTTTACTTCATGATCTCTTCCTTATAGATGCATTACAACTCAAGTGCTGCAACTAAGTTATATATGTAAAAGATTTTGTGTAGGAATTGTCCTGAAAGATGGATTCTCTTTACAAGGACAACAGTCGAACACTGAAAAAGCAGCCCCAAAACAAAAAAACACTGTAAAATAAGTGGATATGTAGAGTGAAAAAAGAATAGATAGAAACCAAAAGTTATAAGACAACACTTGTTGTTAGGGGTTTTCAGCAGTAGGCGTAGACTTTATAAAGATTTTTCCTCCTATGGTTAAAACAAAAACTATTTGTCTAATATTGAGCATTATAAAAGTAAGAAATTTATACCTTAAACAAATGGATGTCAAAACAACTTGCTTCAAGGATGAATTTGATGAATATTGTATGGTACAATTAGAAGACTTGATTGGACCCAAAAAAAAAAAACAAAAAAATCTTGTGTGCAAAATTAATTAAGGCTATCATAGCTTGAAATGATTCTTTGCATTTATTCCCCATCTTGATAACAGGTGGTTGTGCTCCCTTGCACTCTTTAACACAGATATAGTGATATCTTTGGCTGTGGTTGTATGAAATGTAATATATCTTAATGAATTTCTTTTATAACTTAGTGGACTATTCTGTCTTTGTATGGCTGTAGTTGTTGGTGAAACTTGCCAAACACTAAAGTTTGTGTGTTTTGTGTTTATGATCTTTGGCATGTTTATTCTTTTATCTTTTTGAGATTTTACTTGAATTTTCCTCTCCCAACAGCTTTTATTTCGGAGTTGCATGTAAAGCTTTGATGTGAATCCTATGTCTTCTGTATTGTATGACCTGCTCATGGAGAATGTACTTTGGTTTTATAAAATAGAAAATTTTTTTCCTAAATTTTGTCATTTGGGTGATGACAAACACACTTATAGTTTTTTGCAATATTTTTGAAATCATATGGTCATAATATTTTAATATTTAGTGTCTAGTGTTATAACCAATTGTTTGCAATTTTTATTTTGGTCGCAGGCTGCTCGTTTGCGTAGGACTGTTGATTGGGTCTACAATCAGGTTCACTTCTACTTATCTTTAGAGCTAGAAAATTATCCTTGTGTATTAAATTTAAAATCATTATGATACCAGAGTTAACCCAAATCACAATAAAATTATAATTATTATTGCTGAATTCCATTATGGTTATAAACCATGACTCTTGACAATGGGAAATAACAACACAACATGGAAGACATACTAAGGCGATGACGGAACGGGTTGAGCTGCTATCGAGGTTGTGGTCATTGAGAGCAGTAGGTGGTAGGGTGGTCCTTGGGTAGCTAAGGGGAGGGGGGCTGTCTTGTGGCAGGACAACAAGGACGAGAGGGTTGGAAGGCTGGAGGTAGTGAAGGTATTTGGTATGGCTGGTTACAGCAAGAGGGTAAGCTACAGTTGTTGGCAGGAGGTGAGGTGGGCGTGAATGTCGGACGGCTGGTTGGGGGAGTATTGGCGGCAACAATAGGGAAAGGGAGGTGCGCCTGATAGCAGCAGGTGACGTAGGTGTTGGAGGGTTGCAGTTGTGGTAGGTTGGGAGATTTGGGCTGCAGAGACAGCAGGTCTGCTGTCCTTGGGCAGGCTGCAGCAATTCAGCAGAGACGGTGGCGGAAGGGTGGTTGCAGAGGAGGGGATAGTTGAGGATAATCACCACCTCCGAGTGAGATACAACCGGAGCACTACTTGTCCTTTGATACATCTGTAGAAGAGAGAAGGGGGATGCCGACCGCTGTCCAAACATAAATCACACCAAAAACTAACCCTAAGTAAGCAAAATAACAAATATATAATAGCTAGGAGATAAAATAGGAAGAGGAGACTTCCACTTTTGGCGGCAACCAGAAAAGACAGGAAGGAGGGAGCGGCAAATAGAAAAGGCAAGGGAGACGAGGTCTTTGACGATGCTTTCGCCCCATGTAAGCAGAAGACGAGCCGGTCCAGAAGTAGGCTCCTGCCAGACCGGAACTCCCCAGGCTGAACCAATCGGCCGGTTCAGCCTTTCCCCTACGCCCTCCATCACATTCTATGTACAATGTCTTTTGATGAGGGTTAATTCATGGAATAAGGAATTTGTTTTCAAATGCAATTTTTTTTAGCTGGGACTGTAGGACAAGCATTATTAAAAAACAACCAAGTTATTCTATATATCGATTAAAGCTTTATTGTTGGATCGTGTTTTACATAAAATACAATTGAAGGAGTGAACTTGCACTGGAGTGCTTTGGTTTCTTTACTTATCAAAGAGGTCCATCTTTTATCCTGTTATAATAAGATTTCATGTATCAATCGAAGATGAATTCAATGGATGTAGAACTATCTGGTGAATTTCAAATGTTATCCATAAATTTATTGTAGTTATGGAGTCTCACTCCTTTAGGACTTTGTTGTAAGCATTACACGCCCTGGTTTTAATTTTACGATCACATTTACCAATCCTTTTATCTTTCCTTTTACACTCTTCAAATTTAATAACTGTTTTTGCTCTGTAAAACATATATCATGTTGTAGAAAAATCTGGGAGGGAATCTTCACATAATTCTCATTACCGTTCCTCAACTATAAGATTACATTATAAGAAAACCAACCCCTTCTAATTTACAATATACCAAATATATCTAGTTTAAACATCGAAATTAAATAATTCTGAAATAAACATAAATAGAAAGAGAATAAAAACTAATCAAGGAGTTTTCCAAATTGTTTCCAATTAATCCAGTCATCTCTTTTTGGATGGTCTACCTAGGCCCGCCATGGAAAGGAGGCGAATTCTCCTAGATTTCCATACTCATTCTCAAGCTGGGTCGTAGATGTTGTAGTGGTCAAACTAGTATTAAGCTCTGAGGAGTTGCTTGAAGGAAGAGTTTTGGTGAGGACATCAACAACTTGTTGATGTGTTGGATTTAATTAAGTTGTATAATTGCACCATTGATTTTGTTAGAGATAAAGTGTCTATGAATTTTAATATGTTTGGTCCTGTCTTGATGCATAAGGTTCTTTGCAATATTGATAGTTGTTTGATTGTCATAAAACCTTTGTATGGGCCTATTAGAAGTGCACCTTAATTATTTAAGTAATTTCTGAATCTAGATCCATTCACGGATTCCTAAAGCAAATGCCATATATTCTGATTCTACAATGCTTGTAGAGACAATTTACTTCTTACTTATAATGTGACAAGATTTTCTCATACATAGGAGCAATAATCTGTGGTGGACTTTCTGTAAGATAGTTCTCCAACCCAACTTACATCAGTGTAGACCCCTGCCTCTCTGTTTTTGTTTCTCTAAAATATTAATTCATAACCAGTAGTTTTTTTTAGAAATCTCAGGATCCCGTGCACCATCTCTAAATGTTCTTAATTGGGGTTATTCATATGTTTGCTCACAATACTGATAGAGTATGAAATCTTTGGCCTAGTATGTGATAGGTAGATGAGTTTTTCGACCAATCTTTGATATATTTCCTTATCCACAGATGTACTTTCTTCTTCTTTATTAAACTTCTTGTTGGGATTCATTGCAGTATCAATAAGGTCGCATCTAATAATCTCTGCATCCTTTAGCAAATCTAGGATATATTTCCTTTATGATATAACAATGCTTTTCTTGGATGTTGCTATCTTCATACCTATAAAATATCTCATGATTTCTAGGTTCTTAATTTCAAACTCAATGGCAAGCACTTTTTTTATCTTAAAAAGTTCCCTTTCATCATCACCAACAAGAATCATATCATCCACATGTATTATAAGTGCAACAATTTTACCTCCCTAAATGTATTTTTTGAATAGTGTATGATAAGCTTGACATTGAGAGTATCTATTAGATCTCATAGTTTTAACAAACTTTTCAAGTCATATCTTAATGATTGCTTAAGACAATAGAGTGATTTCCTTAGTTTGCATTTTAAGCGTGTTGGAATCCATCTCATGTCTTGGTGATATCTCCATGTACATTTTATTTTCAAGATTCCCATTTAGAAAGACATTTTTATGCAAGTTGATGCAATCCCTACTCGTTGTTAACTTCTACTAAGAGGAGAATTCCGATAACGTTTAGTTTGAGAACTGATGTAAATGTCTCTTGATAGTCAATTCTATAGGTTTGAGTGAGACGTTTTGCTATCTGTCAAACTTTGAAGCTCTCAATACCATAATTAGCTCTGTATTTGATGTTGAATACCCATTTGCATTCAAGTGACCTCTATCTTGAGGAGATTTAGTAAGAATTCACGTTTCATTATGCTTAAAGCTTGAATCTCTTCTTCAACAATTTTCCTTCATTTTGAATTTCTAAGTGCTTCATAAGTAAATATAGAAATCTGCACAGTATCGAAGTTAGATACAAAAGTTCTATAAAATGAGGACAGTTTGTCATAAGTTAACATACTCATGAAACTTTCCTTGTCACTAGCACTAGAAGAGGAAGAAGATAACTCATGAGTTCTAGACTCCTTACCCGAAATTTCACGTGAGCATGGACTCAATTTTTGTCTTGAATAATTCTGCCTTTTGCAAGTTCTCTTCCGCCTGCTTAGTAATTTTTTTTTTCTTGTGTACACATGAAGTTTAAAGTTCTTTGTTTTGAACATCATATTGGGTTGGTTGGACTAGGATATTTTCATGTAGTAGTGTTTGTGAGATAAAAGTGCTCAGTGGAAGAGTGATAGGTTGTGAGGCAGTGGTGCCATTAAGTTCATCCCAAAATTGATGCTCATTTGCAGTCTCCCCCTGAACATCAAATTTATGATAATATGATTGATTTTAAAAAATTGTGATATTCATGGAGCTGTAATATTTTATGGTAATAGGTGAGTAGCACTTATAACCCTTTTTGATGGAGTTGTAGAATTTTCTGGTAACAGGTGAGTAGCACTTATAGCCTTTTTGTTGGAGGCATTCCCAATGAAAATATACTTGATTATTTTAGCGCCAGGTTTTGTCGATTTGGGGAATGGGTGTGAACAAATGATACAAATTCAAAAGTTTTTTAGTGATACAGTAGAAGAGAAAGTTTTGATGTGGGTATAGGTATTCATCAAGACATGAAGTGGTATTTTGAAATTAAGTACTCGATTGGGCATTCGATTGATAAGATATATTGCAGTAAGAACTACTTACTTCCAAAAATATTTTAGAACTTAATGGGAAATCATAATTAAGTGAGATACCTCAAGAAGATACATGTTCTTTCCCTCAACTATCTTATTTTGTTGTGGAGTGTCAATTATGGATGGTTTCATTTTTGAAAGGTAGGATCCCATGATGGAGTTGAAGTATTCTTTTGCATTATCAGTGTTGAGGATTTGCATTTTGTATTTTAATTGAGTTTGAATCATGTTATGGAAGATTTGTGGACTATCTACACTTAATGAACTTCCATTTTCAGTCATAGTAAGCTTCTTTCTACTATCTTCTCTTCTAACTTCAACGAACACTTCACGGGTAGATGGAAGAGACTATTCTCATGATCCTCCCTCACTTCATCCAGTTTCTTAGTCAGTCACACTAGAAATTTGATAGTTCTTTTCTTCACGACATCTTGTGGGTTTTTCACACATGTCTCAAACATATCCAATTGTAGTTAATACTTTGTCAAGATGTTGAAATATTGGGGGGTACTTAGTTCTCCGTGATGAAGATCATGTAGTTTGGTTTTGATCTCAAACAACTCTGCTGTATTCTCAGTGTTGGAATAAGTCTTACAGCCGTCTAGATTTTTTTTGGTAGTTTTATAGAGCAAGAAATCTTCTCATACTTCAGTGGTCATTGAGTTCACTATCCTAAACAACCATATAATCTTGAATCTTCCATAAGCGATAGTTAGGATCAGTGAGCTCAGGATCCGTGTCTTCTCCTGTGAGATGTTCCTATTTCCTTTTTCACAAATGTTTATAAACATTGATTGGAACCATTGAAGGAATGTTATGACCATTGATTTTACGCTTTGTGATAAAGAAAGAGAGTTCAGGAGCTATATGGATAGAATTTTTGGTCTCTGATTCAGAACTATCCTTCGGAGCTG